AACATCCTCACACTATTTAGACGGAAAATGCCCCCAAGTGACACAGACCCACCTGAGCTGCACATGTTCACCCTTCTCTTGTACTGGCCTGAAAATGAAGGCCAGTGTGTTTATGACATCAGTCAAATAATTCAGCAAATGCAGAACACTTACGAAAATGCATATAAGAAGTACTTTCGTGCCAGGTATCTTCTTCCTGTGTTTTTCATTGGAAAAGGTGAAGGTGTGAAAAGAATTGTTCACAGAACAATTATTGAAAATCATCTGAAAGCAAAACCAGATTGGAGCGATAACTGGAAGAAAGAAGAAATCTTCAGAAGTCCTGATGTCCAAGAGCTCCTTCTTAGACTTGATGGAGTAGTAAGAGACTACGGAGTATATACAGGAGTTGGTGGTAAAGAGACTAAGATCAATGCCAATCTGCAAAACAGCCTTTGGAAAAAACGTCAAGTTACCTTCTACCTTGGATTTACTATCAGAGGTCCTGTGGCCTTTGGCATTCAGAATAAAACTGCAGACACAGGTAAGATAACATAACAGTAACATTGCAATGAAGTAAAATGCTCTGCAAACATTCACTACTAGTTAGTAGTTGTTTCATGCTTTGCCTCTCCAAAATGTGAAATGTACACACATGTAGAAGTTGCATTACCAGCAGGGCGAGATAACATATTAAGCCAAGAAGTCAGGATTGAACAAAAAGACATAGAGTAAATTTCAGCTAGGTGGCATCTATGTATATAGATGTAAATGTGTTAATAATGTCCATTTGAACACTTTCACTTGATTATTGTCATGTTAGCTTGAAATAAAATATCTCATTCTGCAGTTACTACAGCGTGCAACTTACTGCAACTTCTGCATGTGTGTCTTTTTCATGGTTTGGAAAGGGAAAGCGTGAAATGGACACGGTGCACCGGCAGGTCTATTACAAGTTTTGACATGATTCACGGTGCAATAATAACATAAAGTACATACACATAAATGCAATATTACAAAAATTAAACAGTGCAAATGAGAATTTATTTGGCTACATTACAGTAATAGTTACTTATTGGACTTTTTAGATTTACACCATAGCATAATATTGTATTGTGTTTTTTAACCTGTATTATCCATTTTTCTGTTGTTTTACTTTATTTTTTGTTTGCTGATTACATCAGTTATTGGAGATCAGAATGGGAAAACTCTGACCAACAGTGTGAAAGAGACCAAAGCTGCCCCTTAAGCTTTAAACATCATACAAGATAATGGGGGACATCCAAGTTTGTGAATCCTGCTCAACATCCCCCCCAATAGGAAAGTGATTCTGAAGCTTCCTTTATAGTATTTATGTCTTTTTATATGTAGGGGCAAAAACTAAAAGGAGAAAATTGTGCTGTAGCGTTGATGTGATGCATGTGATCCAGCACTTTTAGTCATGTATGTATTGTCTATGCTAACACCTAAACAACAGACTTTCAGACTTTCTGATTCTTAGAGATGATTTACTTCCTAAAATTTGGCTTCTTTGCATAGTGTCTATTTAATATTTTGTTTATACATTTCTAAAGACTTTGCTAATCAACATCTGAAGAAAAATGTCTCCTCAAAGTATCGTTTTAAATTGTTGTTTTGCTTCCTGTCTTGTTACTCCTGTTTTTTTTCCTTCCTGTGTTCCCAGCTGTCTTCACCTCCCTGATCACCCTCGCTGTGTATATACTGGCCAAATCTGCCCTTGTCTGGTGCTGGAACATAGGTTCTTTCTCCATGCTAGTACTTTCCAGGTTATGTTTCCTGCAGGCAAAGTCTTAGTCTACGTTTGCCTTTTGTTTTGTATTTTGTGCAACCTCTAAATGGCTTGCTTTTGTTAAGTCCCGTATACAGGCATCTGCATTTGGGTCTTCTCAATTAAAGGTTGCCTTTTTGTGTTTGTTTTATGTGTTAGATTCTAAAGTATAAAAGAGGATGTACATGCTGTTAAATAAAGGTTCGATAATGTTATGGATTTATCTAAGTTTAAATGTGAAAAGGATTTATATTCAGCTTTTTGTTTGTTTGTTTGTTTGTTTGTTTGTTTGTACCCCTGTCTAACCAGTGTTTGATTTCGTTTTACTTATTGTTCTTGTCTAGTTTTGGGGGGCTGTTTGTTTTATTATCCGAGTTTACTCAATAAAGTATTTAATTGCACATTTACACACATTTGGTACTGATTTCATAGACATATTTGAAAAATTATATTTCATCCATCTTCTTCCGCTTTATCCGGGGCCGGGTCGCGGGGGCAGCAGCCTAAGCAGAGAAGCCCAGACCTCGCCACCTCCTCTAGCTCATCCAGGGGAACACCAAGGCGTTCCCAGGCCAGCTGAGAGATATAATCTCTCCAGCGTGTCCTGGGTCTGCCCCAGGGCCTCCTCCCAGTGGGACATGCTCGGAACACCTCAGCCAGGAGGCGCCCAGGAGGCATCCTTGTCAGATGCCTGAACCACCTCAGCTGGCTCCTTTCAATGTGGAGCAGCAGCGGCTCTACTCTGAGCCCCTCCCGGATGGCCGAACTTCTCACTCTATCTCTAAGGAAGAGGCCAGCCACCCTAATTAGTAAATTATATTTACTATTAATTTAAAGTTTGTTTGCAGATTATTTAGTACATCTGAAACAGTTAGTTGTTTAAAGCCCAGCCTAACAGTTTTGCACGTCTGGCCTTTAGTTTTTGTGAAGTGCCACGTCTTATAAAATTATTTCAAAGTGAAATATTGGCATCATTTAATAACACACATAATACCATAAATTGTTAAACATGCTTTTAATTTATTTTGAGACATGATTAGTAGTGAAATAATATTAACATTAATTAATAATAAATCACTGACAATCCCCACTTTAAATGCCTGGGACTTTCCACCTTTTGGTTTAAGAATTGAAGAAGCCTCTTGGATACCAGGAAAAAAATACTCATGTAAAGTACAGTAACAAAGTGTTTGTACTTCATTGCTTCCCACCTCTGGATATAGCTGCATATTAAGCTCTATGGATTAAAAATAGGATCTCACTTAAGGCAAGCCGATTATTTTATATATAGCACCAAATCACAACAACAACATAAAGAAAACAGTGAACATATGTATGTGAAGGCAGACAAGGGAATACTTTTGCATATATATGTACATCTCTGGAGCAGGAGTCATAAGTTTGATTCCCACCTGGGGCACCTGGGGCACCTGGGGCATCGGGTGGCTGTAGCTCAGATGGCAGAGCAGGTCAGCCACTAATCAGAAGGTCGGTGGTTCGATCCCAGGCTGCCTCCTGGCTGCATACCAAATATCCTTGGGCAAGATACTAACCCCATGTTTGCCTACTGGTGGTGGTCAGAGGGCCCGGTGGCGCCAGTGTCCGGCAGCCTCGCCTCTGTCAGTGCACCCCAGGGCAGCTGTGGCTACAATGTAGCTTGCCATCACCAGTGTGTGAATGTGTGTGTGAATGACTGAATGTAGTGTGAAGCGCTTTGGGGTCCTTAGGGATTAGAAAAACGCTATACAAATGCAGGCCATTTACCATCTGTATCCAGTAAGAGTCCTAGGCTAGACACCCCCCTCTCATTCTCGACATGAACGAGAGAGAGAAATATAAAGTCATGCCATCTCGGACGTCACCCTAATCAACAAAGTCCGAGACAGGTGTCTAGGTACCAGGGCACCCTGATGAGAAGTGGGGAAACCTGGATCCCCCGTAGCCAGTTACCAAGACTAGGTGAAGTACCCTCAGAAGATCTACTAGATGATGTGATTGCAGCACTAAGAATGATACCTGTATGCTAAGTGGAAAGGAGGAGGACGGGGACTGGTGAGTGTCAGTACCACGGTCCAGGATGAGACAACGAACATCCACAAATACATCAGGAAGATGGCAACACATAACAGCAGGGTGCAAGATGCTAGCAGGCAGGGCATACATGGAACGCCATAACCAAGTGGCCGGCATAGTATACAGAAACATCTGTGCCAAATATGGCCTGAAAGTCCAGAGGTCAAAATGGGAGACATCCTCTAGGGTGGTGGAGAATGACTGAGCTAAGATCCTGTGAGACTTCCGGATGGAGGTGGCTAACCAACCGGATATAGTGGTGGTGGCCATAGACCACCAGTAGGGGTGAGAGGAGTTTTTTTTTATAGAGTGACCTCTATATAAGTCTGTCATGTCCTTTTACCCTTTTTAAGACCATAACCAGGTTATGTACACATGATTTTATAAAACATAGGTCAGCATTCATTAAAGATAAAGTGCGTGTGTGTGTGTGTGTGTGTGTGTGTGTGTGTGTGTGTGAAAGAGAGTGAATGTGACAGAAAAAGAGAGTGAAAAACATTTTGGATAATAGAGAACTGTCTGTGATCAAGCCACATAAATATTCTTTTTTGATGCGCTTCCAAACACTCTTCATTGATTATTTACATTTGCTTACATCCTAACGTATTTTAATGCCCTCCTTTTATTTGTTTAAATGTTTCCAAATACTCAAGCACTGTTTAATTGCAAACTGAGACCTGAACAGCAGCCACATGAGTGAAATAGAGACAGAAAGAATTGTTATCTTTCATCATTAAACCGTTCATAGTAAAGCCTTAGTATTTCCTGTTGTGACAAGCATTTCCTAATCAAATGAAGTCACCCTGCCCTTTAAACAAATGTAGGTAATGTTTCAAAATAGGACAATATTAACATATATCACATATTTTATTATTTTGTTGGCCAAATTTGCAAATTTCCAATCTTTAGCGTCTGATTGTGCAATATTTTATGCCAGCTTGACGTGTTTATTGACTGAACACGTCAAGCGTAGCCTCTGCTTTTTTTAAAAACCAGGAAGAAAATGTGCTGTTAAATTGACTCATTCCTTTTTTTAAACTACTCTGAAACTGGAACTGCTCTAACATTCAAACTGTAGAGGTGTACATGTCTGTACCTGATTATCCCAACCTGCTTTGGGTGTGACGACTACCTTCCGGGTTACATGACACATTCACGGTCCCAGTGCTTGAACACACACATAATAGCAGGTCTTTAGAGCTGTCCGTGTAATTTGGGAGAAGGTAAGAAAAATCTCTTAAGATCTGCAAATGACAAATGGAAGTTTTAATTGAAGTTAGTGTCTGGTTCTTTACATGGAGAAGGCTATATTTATTTTATGTGATTGACCAGCAATGAAATGGCTATTTAAATGTATCACATTCCATAAAGTGAATGTAGGACCTAAATTACAAATAGTTTAAGCTAAGACATAAGACGGACTCATGTTTGTTTTGTTTAACATTCATTAGGGTGAAGTAAAGTGAAAGTGTGAAGATGGCAAACAGACCAGCCCTGCCCACTGCTGAAGGTGGACAAATACATGTAATGAGTAAAATCAGTGATTCCTTCTCATTTTTGGATGTCCTCTACACCAGACAGTTTGAAGGAGAGTTTGTTGAACCTCAACACGCTGAGCAAGTGGAGGAAAACTTTTACAGAGGGGCCCCACCGAACTGGTTAAACTTCTATATCAGTGAACAAGCAGTGTCAGATGGCAATGCAACTCCTTTTATCAAACGATATGGATATGAAACCCTTAAAGAACAAATTCACCTGAGAAGAAAAGGCCCTGGGACATCAACAATTAAACTGTTTCATCAACAAGGATGTGGGGGAACCACACTGGCTATGCAGGTGCTGTGGGACTTGAGGAAAACCTTCAGATGTGCTGTTTTGACAGGTTCAACATTAGATATCACAAAAGTTGCGCAAGATGTGGTCAGCCTTTTTACAGCAGGTAGCCATGGCCACCAGAAAACGGTACTGTTGTTACTAAATGATGAGTTCATATTGGACATCCTCCAGGACAGGATTATGGAAGAGATTGCTGAACAGGATATAGAAATTGATTTGCCTGTGGTAATTTTACTGAACTGTGTGAGAAGCAGTGACGGGATTATCCACCAAAAGGCGCGTTCTTATGAACTGAGACAAAAGTTCAAGAGGAAAATGAGAAAATCTATTATTCTCAAAAAATCTCTCTCAGACAGAGAGCAAGCAGACTTTGATATGAAAAAAGAAGAGCTTGGCAGAAGATTTGGTGATCGATGCAAGCAGTTTCATGGTTTTAACATTCTGCAGTCTAATTTCTCTCAAGCCTACATCAGGAACGCATGTGCTACATTAGAACATATCAAAAGAACAAATAAGCCACTGAAGATGCAGCTTGCTGCCTTCCTGTGTCTGCTGAACGCCTACGTACCAGGTTCATATCTCCTGGAGTCTCAGTGCCTGGACTTCCTCAGACATGAAGATGAAGATGACCTTTCACTGGAGGATCAAATGCAGCCTTTCAGTCATCTGATCGTCACCTTCCAACAAGGTGAAAGATCTGAAAAAAAGGTTTGCATGGCTCACAATATGATAGCTCAGTGTTGTACTGAACTGTTGGGTGATGCAGGTGTGACCAGAAGTGACACAACAAGACACTTCTTGAACAGTTTTTGCAAAAGTTATGTTCCCCCATGTTTGCTTGGGTTTGTCAAAGACATGCTAACCAAAAGAGAAATTAAAATAATAGAGGACCCAACTGGTGTAATTAATGAGAAGAAAGAAAAGTTTTCCAGACTGATTCAAGATATTACAAAGACAGAAGATGATGACAAAAAGAAAGGCAAAAGTCAGAGTCTGTCAGTCTTGAAGGTGGCCTCAAAGAAATTTGATGACAACCCACTTTTTCCACAAACTCTTGCTCGTTTATATTATATAGAAATAGAAGACTACAATGAGGCAGAAATTTGGGCAAAAAAAGCAAAGCAGAGAGCACCTTGGAGTTCATATGTTGCAGATACACTAGGCCAAGTCCATAAGAGCCACCTGAAGAACTTAAAACTTTCTGCCAAGCCAAGAGAAATTTTACAGCTGGCCCAAAAAGGCATTGAAGCTTTTGAAGATGAGGAACGACTTGCTGAGAATGAACACATGAAAGGCAAACAAGGAGATGGCAATAAAAAAGTCTTGCGTGCTTTAAACACCAGAGGGCTGTTTGGTTATCTGGAAGTTTGCACCCTGTTGTATGACCATCTTATCAGACATGATGAACTTTGGAAGCAAGTTCTCACAAAGACTGTGTCTCTGGGCTCTGTCCTGAAATCCCTCGGAGATGAGAAACTTTTCAGGTTTAAGGAGCTAATAAACAGCCTCAGAGATTTGGTTGAGAAAAGATTTGAATTTTTTGACACGTTTTTAACGTATTCATATTCTGTTGTAAAGAAAGAAGATCCATCCTACATTTCCAGAAAGACAATAGAATGCTACAAAAAGTATGTTGGAGACGCAGAACCAAATGATCAACTCCAGAAAGCCTTCCACAAACTTAAACAAAAACTGGCTGTCACTTCTCCGGGAGTACTTTCATGTCTTGAAAGATGCACTAGATCAGACACCAAGGACATTGCTGTATGGTGGAGAGAAATCTGCCAACACAAACATTCTGCTACACATGCCTTACTCAACTACGTTCTGGCCAATATCATGCTGATAAATCTGAAAGAACCTCCCTCCAGCTCCGACTACCAAAGCAGCTTTAGAGAGAAAATGCCATTGGCTCCTGAGATGCAACCCGAGTTTCACATGTTAGCTCTGCTGTTGTGTTGGCCTACAGATGGTGAAGACAAATTGACCTTTGACCTCCCTCATTTAATCCAAAATATTCTGTATTCCTATGAACAAGAATATAAGTCACTCTTTCAGTCAAGGTACCTTCGACCCATATTTTTTCTTGGACCGGGTCAGGGTCTGAACAGACTTGTTCACAGACGCAACCTTGAAATCTTGTGGACCCAAGATGCACTGGAAGACCCAAACACAAACTGGAGGAACGACGATGTTTTCAGAAATCCAACAGTCAAAGACAAACTTCTCAGGGTTAAAGGGGTGGTGAGAAATTACAGGCTGTATGCAACATTTGGCGGCACAGAGATCAAGTTGGATGTTAACCAAAAAGACAGCCTCTGGAACTCAGGCCATGTGTTCTTTTATGTTGGATTTACAATCAGTGGTCCTGTTGCTTACAACGTTCACAGAAGAACTGAGGGTAAGAAAATGAAACTATTAAAATCCTTTCCCTCAACAAATTAAATGCTTTCCTCTTTGAGTATTACATTTTTTCATGTTATAATGACAATAGTTGTTTTAATACAGCTAGGTTGATAATTTTACATGACCAAATGGTGTTTCCTCCATTTTTCTGCTTTAAAGATGCTAAGATTAAAAAGCATGTTTTTTATGTACTTATATCATATAGAAATCTCGCACAAGTTAAAGTAACGTTAAAATTGTGCTAGAATTATTGGATTTTGTTAGCTAGCTCTTTAAACATTAACTTTGCTTTAAGAAGAACCTTCTGAGAGACTTCTGAAAGCTTTTGGCAATGAAATGGTAAGTCTCTGTTTCTGTGGATTTTTTTTCTACTCATTTATTGCATCTTACAATAATTGTAAAGATTTTACAATTTCAATGACCATGACAATGTAAAAATATCTTGTACAACAGGACTCCAGTCCGTGGACGAAGCTGAAACCTGAAGTCCAGATAATGGACAAGGTTCATACTTACAGGTGAAGGTTATCACTAATTACAAGACACACAATGAAGTGGTTTGGGTTTAAAGTACCACTTTGTACTATTTGCAGTTTTGCTGTTTCTGTTCGTGCATGTGAACAGAGCATAACAGAGCATTTTGTCTTGTCTATTCAAATTCAGCCTGCAGTCTGAAAGTGGCAAATATGAATGCAGCGAGTCTGCCTTGCGGTGGGTTTGTAAGGAAACCGTCAGCTTCAGATACCAGTTTAGCTCATGGGAGCGATTCATGAGGAAACCTGTATGCATGGACTACATACCAGCAGGACCCCTAATGGACATCAAAGTCACAGATGGGAAGCTAGAGGAAGTCTGTCTGCCGCACTGGATCTGTACAGGTTCGCAGTCGTAAAACACATATGATTGTTTTATTACAGTAATAAAGATATTTATGCACACATGACTGTTTGTGCTTTGCAGGTGAAAATGCAGCGATGTCAGACATATTTCGAGTTCTGCATGTGGACAGCAGTGGAGGTTATTTGGAGCAAGTGTCTGAAATGACATCATCCCATGTGAAGTTAAACAAGCCGGAGTTCTCTCTAAGAGGAGCCATGATCCTAAAGAAACTGGGCCTATATCTAAAAGTTTTTGCTGATGTCTTGATATACATGCAAATCACATCTGGCCTCACTCTGCACGTTTACCTGGTCCCACATGATCCTCTACTACAACAGGTAATACAATGCCACGTACTGGAGCAACAATATAAAGTAGAAGTGAGGAAAAATATATAATAACACAGAGAAATAAAATGCTCTCATTGATAAATACAAAAACACAGTGACACTACAAGGCAGCAAATTAATAGAGTTTGGTCTCTAAATGTTTTGACAACCCAACTGACAACATTACTGACTTTCAGGCAGAGAAAACTGCATTAAAAGTTAAGAACTTACAGCCATCTTTATGCTAATGTAATTTAATCATTCTTTCAAAAGCTGTTTTTTGAACAGCTTTGAGCTTTTTTTTAACTTTGTAGTTGTTACTTGTGTTTTCTTGCCATTTTCCCTTTTCAGTTTCATGGATTGCAGTAGTGCAAATCAATGTTCTCATCTTGATATAAACACAAACACATATGTTCATTAAAGACATGAATAGATGTGAACACGATTCCCAAAGATTTCCAACCATTACTTGTATGTGAAGAATGGTCCATTTTTCCATGTTTCAGGAAGTGGAGAAGAAGGAGAAATCTGACGGATTCAGACAAATCCGAAAGACAAGTCCTATTGACCCTGTACAGCTGGAGAGTTATTTCTACCTCTCAACAGACTGGGACACAGCAGAAATCTGCCCTGAGGTTTGGACTAAGCTGCACTTCTGTTCATTGCACCATAACATAGAAACAGCAAAAATCCTCAAATTTCCATAAAATGTTTTCTCTGCAGAAACAGCAGTTCATGTTGGAGTGGAGCGACACTAATTTCTTTGAGGTGGTCATTGGAAATGAAAAAAGCGACTTCGGAAACGTGAAACTGAAACTTGAAGTTGAGCGCAGGGGAGGAAAGGAAAAGGACACCGTGTGGACGTGCGCTATCGGAACAGGTTAGTGCTTTATGCATATTTGCCCTAACGCAGCTCATCTAAAATATTTAGACCAGGCCAGTATTTGACCAGCTTGACCCCTTTTATTCCAGATGACTATTAAGCACAAGTATTCACCAAGAACAGGGTAAGAGGTTCGCTTTAATCCATGATTATTTTATAAAGTAAATTCCTTTTTCAAATCTTGTGTTTTGCTTATCAAGACATAATTTAAAAAGAAAACTGGGTTCTGAAACAACCTAAAAACAAACCTGAGAGAAACAAAAAGCAGTCTTTCTTTTTCACCCATTTGCTGTAAAGTTCTCGCTGTGGTCTGGATCACTGTCTCTTTGCACGATTTCCAGTTTGATCCCGTCGCTATAAAACAAAGCCCAAACCATCACCCTTCCACCGCCGTGCTCGACAGTTGGTTTGAGGTGTTTGTGCTGATATGCTGTTTGGTTTTCTCCAAAGGTAGTGCTGTGTATTTTGTTCAAACATGCCTACTTAGGTCTCACCTATCCAAAATATATTGCTTTTTTTTTTTCACATGCAGCATTGCTGCTGTTCTTTTTAGATAGAAGATATTTACCCTCTTTCCAAAAAAGCCCGTTCAAAACTTGTTCATCTTTTTCTAATTGTACTCTTATTAACTTTAACATGCTGAGGCCTGCAGAGTCTCAGATGTAGCTCTTGGGTTTCTTGCAGTTTCTCTGAGCAGGGCATGGTCTGATACTGGGATGAATTTACTGGGATAGTGACTCCTGTGTTGACTGGAAGCTATCTTGAATGTTTTCTGTTTGCGAATGATCTTTCTTCCCAGACTGAAGAACATCAGCAATTTCTTTTTAAAAATTATTGCTTTCCTATTTGGAATTGTGTTAACACACACCTGAATGCTCCAGACTAGGAAACTACTGAACGACTGCTTTTGTAGAGATGCTGATTATCAATAATCAAGTGCATTTCTGTATCAGCACCTGGCTGTTACTTGCACAGGGAGCAGTGTGCTTAGTTATTTAGCATTTTGGCTTAATTTTCACTAAATAATGACGTCATGTTGCTGTTCATCTAAAGTTTCAGTAATTTTACAGTCTTGTAAAGACCAGGAGATTTTCATTAGGTGCTGATATGTAAAACCTTATAACTGAAAACAGCTTCTTTTTTCAGAACTATATATTTATGAAAAACTATATTGTAGAGCATTACAACTTACTGTGTTTTATTATGTTTTACATTTGCTTTTTATTTTTCTGGACAGCATTTCATGGATCGCCATTCAACGGCTCTGATGAACAGTGAACGAGGCAGCAGCCGTTCTAGACAAACTCCAGGAAAAAGATCTGATCTCCAATGAGAAATTTGATGCTGTGAGAAATTTAAATGAGAGATTATTCAAAGATGAGCTCTATGAAGTCCAAGGGATAAAGTCTCTGAGGTTTCTCATCTATGAGCTTGAGTGAGCTCAATGTATTGTTTAGAGAATGTTAAAATATGAACCACATTTTAAGTTTTTTTTTTTTTATTTAACTCAACCAAATACATATTTTTCTCTTGTTTAAAAAAAAAAACCTTTCTTTATTTTTTTAAAATTGTTTATCTTGTTTTTATCTGTGTAATTTAATTTCTTTAACGTTTTTCTACAACACGGGATACAGATGTTAATGTTTACTCAGAATACAGGCAAATAAAATATTCTGAACTTTTATATTTAAATTAAAAAATACCTGATTGCTACAATTCTAACTTTTAGTCACAGAAATTTAAAATACTACATTTTGTGTCCAAAGGTTAAAAAAGTACAGTGACATGATGTGTATTAAAGTGAACAAAGTTTACAATGAAGCAGAAGAACCAGAAAAATAAATATGAAAATATTTTAAGATGGAAAAATGAGTGTGGTTTTATTTCCCAAAGGTCACAAAATGAGACTAATGTGCACAGTTTTTTTCCATTTCAGATAATCCATTTATACAGGATGCTACTGAGGAATGATGGGTAATAAATTAGATCAAACTGAGACTTGTACATAATGAGGTGGAAAGTTATTGGTTCATCTGAGCGATGAGCCCCTCCAGCTCTGGACGCGCCTTGAACCGTGCTTGGAAATCAGCTTCGGTGTGCTGAGAGGTTCAGAGGGAGAGAAGTGGATTAGTTTTAAAAATTATGATATGACCAAAAACTACGCATGCATATTGCCTTTAAGAGTAAGATGGAGTCTGGTTGGTTATAGTGAGCATTTCTAATGTTCTCCAACAGTTATGGACTAAAAGATGAACATGCAACAGCTTACTCACCTCCGTCACAGAGAGCTGAACTCCCTCTGGTTGATTCTTTAAGAGGACGTCCATGAAGACGGGACACAGCGCGGCGTTCAGAGTGCTCAGCTGGACAAAAAGTAATAACACCGTTAACAGTTAGGTCTTTAAAACCTGTCAGTACACCTGCAGCACCTGCAGTTTGAGCTGAAAGCACAAACAAAACCCCAAAAAACACAACAAGCCAGGTCTTACCTGAACGACTCGGTGGTGAGTCTTGAGGACAGCATCGACGTACGTCTTGGTGCCTTGCTCCTGCATCAGCATGACCTCTGTGCTCTTTCTTGGTAAAGCATAGCTGTACGTGGGAAGCATTAAAGAGCATTAAAGCTTAAGTCTACTACAAAGAAAAACAAAACAACTCACTGTAATATATTTGGCAGATGCAGAGGAACTCTGCTGCCATCTAGTGACCAAAGTCTGATATATCAAGGTTTAAAACTTGATCATCTACCATCCTTACTGTTGCTTTGATAGTTTAACTGTGTCAGTCCCTTCATGTGAAACGCATATCTAAATAATTTTTATTCCATCCTTTACAGGGAAAAACAACTTCTACAAACCTGCAGTTCATCCTAACTATGTTTCTATCTGCTGAGTGAATTGTTAATTACCCACACATAAGAGAGAAGACGGGGGACCTTTGATACCCGGTCTACCAATAAAATAAACCAAATCATATTTAATGTTGTTCGTATATGGAAAAGAATAAAAACAGTTTAACTTCAAACATCTAATCTTAATGAACAGGGGGCAGTTATAGCAGAAAATGGAAATGTTCCTATTGAACTTGACATGGTTTGCATCTCAGCTCCTTAAGTGACTCAGTTAAATGTTACCTGCTGACCTGCAGTGATCAGAAACCTCAGACCTGCCATCCAAACATCCTCACCTGTCAGCTACTTTGATGCCAAGCCGGTTGCAGAAGTTATGGATGTACTGGGAGTAATGTTCCACGACAGTCATGTCATATCCTGACACGTTCACATTCAGAGTGCCGTACGCTGTATCTGTCGCAGACATGATCCGTTTCATCTGGTGCTTGTCCTTCTTTTTCCTCGGCTAAAAGCAACAAAACAGCAAAGGGCCAGACAGTGTCTTAAGTTAACTCTATCCTGCAAACAATTTAAAATTCACTCTGGGAACCACAAGTAAGCCAGCAGTCTGACACTGAAGAGTTCTGTGAGGACACTCTGGTGGTATGAGGTCTTTAAGATGAAATGGGCGTGATTATTCTCCACTTGGAGTCTTACCGCTTGCTTAGGTAACAGATATTTCCACCTCCCAATGCCGTGGGTTGGCATGCCCTTGTACTGTCGTTCATTTACAGAGTGTGTGCCTAAGAAGAGAACAAACAACACTTTAAATATTCTGCAGCACCACGAGCAGTTTGCATTGAGTTTGCATACACAGGACACAAATACTTACACCAAACAGGATGCTGGATGGACGGTGCAGCCCTTTAAAGATTACAGAACACAGATTAATCATAAATAGTATCAGAAGGAGAGAAATCATCTCACCGCGATGTGTTTAGAAACATAAAACAAATTCTACGGTCTAACAATTGAGACTTGTTGTAAATGTCTGTGCTTCAATCTGTTTTAAAAACTGACAAATTTAACCTAATTGCTTAATTAAATTAAACATATAATGTCTACAACTGGGACAACCGAAAAAGCAAGGCAAAGACTTACCGGCAAGGTGTCAGCGCTTTATTCAGCAGGAGCGCCTGCTGTGCGACAGACGCCTGCACCTGGAGACAACATCACCTGTCAAATCCACTATTTATCACACTCATTTAAATTTAACAGTGTATCCCGGCAATTATGAAGCACAGCAGTATTTGGATATCCTCCTTCAGTATAACCATAAACCCCCATTGCGGTCTTCCTCTTTTCCTCCTTGCCTGGCAGCTCCATCTACAACATCCTCTGTTTTTCCAGTTACCTCTACAGGAGCCAGAAAAGACAACGACACAAACACGGGGCTGGCTGACAGGAAGCTAACTTAGCTCCAGCACAGCTGTGACCTCTGTGAAGTCAGCAAACCTGTAGCAGAGAAAAAACAAATAAGCGGGACGTCACCTTCCGGAAGACAGGATTCATCACTGCGCCTCTCTCTGTCGATATTTAATGTCAGATATGCTCAGACGAAACTCCTCACAGAACTGCATCTGCTTAGGATGAATAACATGCAATAACACACGCACTGGTGCAGACGCCGGAAGTCCGTGCTGTTTTTTGTCCGTCGGTTAAACACGGGAGTACAACCGTTCCGGGTGTCGTGGCAAAACGTGATTACAGATGTTTCTGTGTGTTCTGTTTTTTTAATGCCTAATATAGTTCCTTATATTGGTAAATAACCTGTAGACAACATGATTTACAAAGCGGCTATATGTAGAATAAAGAATTGGCCTGTTTTAAAAGTATAAACTAAGACCACTGCACTACTTTCAAGCACTTCAACTCGTACTCGTCTTGATGTTTTTTTATATTCTATATATTCTTCTTGATATTTATTCAGCTGTCTTAATTGCTTGTTTGTCCAAAACGTTTATTTTCTTTGAAGATATAATGATACAATAAATGTTTTATTTTAGTGGATATTTTGTTGACTCCATAAGGGATTTTCACATTCTTCCCATTCTGGACATCTTGCCCCTCTTTTACACCCTCATGATGTAAAGTTTTCTAGATCTGGCACTGCTGCTCTGTCCTCTGCATTAAAATGCACTCCCTTGGGGCAGTTAAAATGTATTTGTATTTGTAGAACTGTGATTCATGCTAATACAATCCATGCTTCCCTCTTGGCTCCACCTCTCGTGAAGAAGAGACTTTTGATGTCAGTGACACTTTCACCCAGATAAATATGGATATGCAAAAGTCACTTTGTGACAGGAATTTTCTTTCTGGCTCAGAATGAGCTTGACATGTTATAGGCCAATAATACACAACAGTTTAAATACTAGAGCAGGTGTAGTGAAATATATTGGCGCCCCATGACTTGCGTGGTTGAACAGGCTACTCCTGTACTGAAAGCTGTCTCTAAACTATCCCACTTAAAGGCCTAAACTAAGATTTTATTATTATTAGTCTGCAGTGATGGACCGATGAGGTCAGGCTGGGGTGTCTGTGGACTATGTTTGCATATGATGTTGCGACGTGTAGTGAGAGCAGGTGGAAGAGAGAGAGAGCAATGGAGACTGAATTTAAATACCTATGGCCAACCAAAGCAACAGACAGTTAACAAAGAGGTGAACAAGACAGTGCAGGCAGGGAAGAGTGGGTGGAGAAGAGTATCTGAGTGAAAGAATAGCAGCTAGACTGAAAGGGAAGGTTTACAAGATGTTAGATGTGCGGTTTGGAGATGGCGACTGAGCTGGAGATGCTAAGATTTTCACTGGGAGTGACCAGAAAGGACAAGAATAGTAATGTGGATTTTGGAGGGACAGCTAAAGATGTTTAAGGTGGTGCTGCCAGGCAAAAAGGAAGAGCACAGATGAGGTTCATGGATTTAATGGAGGAGTACAAACAGAAGGTTGGTGTGACAGAAAAGGAGGATGCTAGGGATATGTGATATTTGTTTTATTTTCTTTCTTGCCCATTTTCCTGTGTTTAAAGTCTTCAGCCTGTTAGCTTTAAATGTCCTAATCAAACTGCAGTAATGAGTTTCCTGTACACAAAGCAAAAATATAAACTCTTACGTCACATTTCTCCAGCAACATAAACAACACCGTGACAACCGTGCACATTCACCAGGCTTTTTATTATTATTTTTAATTTTTACAATTCCTGAAGTTTGGCCCCTCAAATAATTTTATCAAAATGGAAATCAGCTGTCGACATTCAAAGGTTTCAGGTGTACCACAGCATTAACAGTAGTAAAGTGCGAAAGTACACATCACCTAAAACTGGTATTTTAAGAAGAATGTATGAACTGTGCATAGGAACAATTATTTTTGTTTTTACATGTTTGTAAATGCATTAACTGCTTTTAAAGCACAAAAAGCAAAACGTCATTCTGCAGTAAACTTCTGTTAGCACATTTCTTTAAACATCATGCCAAGCAGACAAACATCTCCTAAAGTATGCATGCACACACACTCTCACTCACAACCTTTTCTCTTTGGCTTACAATGCTGAAACAATCACAAGCTCATACACAGGTTCTGTTCCAGCAGATTTCTCAGAGCCTTCAGCAGAAGTTCTGATCGAAGGGCTTTCTTTGGAG